TTACTCATGTGCCAGTTCAAAATGAAGTGGAAGAAAACGAAAACAAGGCCATTTAAAAAAAAAAAAAGAAGAATATGAAGACCTTGAATTTATCCTACCTGGATTTACAAACTATCTCAAGAATAGGCTTGAGGCATTTTACAATAATGACGGAAGACCAGACAAGTTAATGGGATAACATAAAAAATAACATCCATGAAGGAAGCAAAAAGTTACTTTAAAGACAAGGGGGAAAGAAAAGACCAAAGTGGATGTATAAGAGACTCTGAAAACAAAGAACAAAGAGAAGACAAAACAAATGCCAAAATAAAAGAGAGCAGAAATTTTGAAGGGCAGTTCGAGAAGACAAAGCAAAGTGTTATAACAAATGTAGAGAGCTGGAGTTAGAAAACAAAAAGATAAGAACTCACTAAGCATTTCTTAATCTGTATGATCTGGGGGAGGGGGGAATTAAGCCTTGTATTACTGAAGTATGCTATGGCATACTTTTCCTGGATCTTGAATGATCCAGGAAACCTCAAAAGAAGATGGAATACACATTGTACCAAAGAGAATTGACTGCCATGGAATCATTTCAGGAAATAGCATATGATCAAGTGTTGTCGACGGAAGGTAAAGAATAAAGAACAAGACAGGACACCAAGAATGGAGGAGAAACAGCTCAAAGCAGGGGTCAAACAGCTGGAAGAAATGAAGCGCAGAACCCAGCTTCCCTGTGTCTTTATTGAAAATTGCCAGGGAGCAAATCACAAAGAGAATTTTATGTAAATGAAGCTAAGCTCTTTCTATTGAAAACCTTTTGCTTGACTTAAGAGGGGTTAGCAAATACAATCCTAGAATTGTGAAAATGCCCAAGGCCTAAGGTCTCCCTTGGCACTTAACACCTGTGAACACCTAAGGTCTGTTGTGGCACTTTCTTAGGGGGAATTCTGACTTGTATTTGCACCTCCATCATATCCTGATACGGCATTTGGTTTGTCATTAATATTTAACTTGAAATGTGATTTCCCACAATCAAGAACCAGTGGTAATGAAGGAAGACGTTTTAAGGGGCACTCAAGATATTGGCAAAAAATAAAGAATTGATGGAATACCAATTGACATATTGGAAAAAAATACCAAGAACTCATTCAGCATTTCTTAATCTCTACTATGTGTTGTGTGAACAGAGCAAGGGAACACTGCATGGTTTAAAATCAAGAAAGGTATACATTAGGATGTATGAAGAAGAAAGTTGCCTCAGAATTGGTAGAAGACTTATCAACAATCTGGGTTATGCAGATGATACAACTTTGCTTGCTGAAAGTGAAAAGGACTTGAAGTGCTTGCTGCAAAAAATCTGTGGGTTATATTTCATCATCAGGCAAACAAAAATGCTCATCACAGGGCCAGTAGTCAACATCATGAGAGATGGAAAAAGATTAAAATTGTCAATGACTGAATCATAATTGGATCTACAGTTAACACCCTTGGTACCAGCAGTTAAGAAATCACAGAAGACCTATCACATTGGAAAAATCTGCTGTTAGAGAACTCTCTGAAGTGGTGAAGAGCAGGGACTAAGACATATCTGATCCAAGCCATAGTCTTTTCGATTACTTGCTGTGCATCTCAAATTTGGGTATTGGATAAGCATGACAGAAGAACAGATGTCTTTTAAGTTGTGATATTGGAAAAGAGTATTGAATATCTCACAATCGTGATTGTGTCTTGGAACAAATATGTCTTAGAAAAAGTATGACCAGGGTGCTTCTTGGAGGCAAGGATAGTGAAGCTTCTTCATCTTGCATACTTTAAGCTTGCTGTTAGGAGGGGCCAGTCCTTGGCAAGGACATCATGCTTGGAAAGATAAGGGATCAGTGTAGGATAAGATGACTTTCAACATGGTGGATTGACACAGTGACTGTAACATTAGGCTGACGATGGCACAGGGTAGGGCCAGGTTTAGATCTTTTGAGTTACACTTGACTAGATGGCACATAACAACAGCAATAACTTACCCCTTCTTAGCCCTTAAAGAGATACTAATTGCTTACCTGCTGCTTTTGAGCATATTGATTGTGGATACAAGCAAAATGAAATCTTTGAGTACTTCAATCTTGAGTCTTTTCTCCTTTCATAATATTGGTTCACTTGTTAGGACTTCTGTTTTCTTGTTTCAGAAAATATGAAAAGTTTTCCAAGTAAATGCTTTTATGTATTCTTGTTTGAGTGTATATGGATTTGTGGAACATTTTAGACACTTGGTACTGTTTTGAGAATATACCATAGCTTGTTCAACTTGCTCTTTGTTGATGGGCATTGTCTGCTTTGTGTAAATGTTTTCAAAAGCTTGTTATGTATATCTTTTCTCCCACTCTAAATACATAAATCCTATCATCATGAGATTGTGGTTTTTAAAAAACATATTTTCAGACACCTCTTCAAATAATCTGTAACCAATAGTGCATGAGACTTTTGTAATGTGTTCTACTTGTTGATTTTCTCCCGGTCTCTACTAGACTGTGTGCAGCCTAATTTATTAGAAAAACCAATAATGAAAACTATACATTTTAAAGAAATAGGGTTTCTAATAGTCAAAGTCTTATCTTTTCAATTACTGTAATTTATGACTTAAGGATGCTCTATTTTCCACTTCTGCAGTTTAAAAAAGAAAAAAACTAGTGATTCCTATTTTTTGTAATTCCTTTTTTTAATGAGTTAAGTACCTCATATTCATACTTTTCTCTAGCTACTCATTCAGGTATTACATCTTTTTTTTTAATACTAGTTTATAAAATTTGAATACATTGTTTTCCAGAACACATCTTAATATTTTATCACTGCTCTACATGTTGTTGAACTTATCAACATTTCTTCCCCATAACAGACATTTATTGAGTGATTAGCTGTGTACTAGGCATTCTTTAGTCTTTATCTTGCTGCTCTTTTCAGTTTTATTTGATACTGTCGATCAGTCCTTTTTTTCTTGGCCTATGGAGACCATCCTCTCTTTTATTTCTTCTTCTGTTATTCTGTTTCTTTTTTTTTAATTAATTTTATTATTTTGTGTGTGTGTACTGTCAAATCAGATCTGACTCTTACAGGAGGAGATTATCACTCCTTTTCCAGCAGAGAATCTGGTGGATTTGAACTGCATGCCTCTGGGATTGCAGTGCAGCTTCTTGCCACTAGGCCACCAGAGCTCCCTGTTATTCTTTTTCTTATCGTTTGAATTATTTTCTTCTTCTGCACACCCTTTAAGTTTTCAGTTTTGAAGGTGGCTTACTCTTTTTTATATGTGATTTTAAATGTCATCTGGAAGCTGATGAAATCTATTAAACCTTTTTTAAATAAGCTCTATAGTTATAATTCTGTACAATTCTAGAATTCCAGTGGATAGTTAAGATTCCTCATAATAAAAATATCCAGAAATAAGTTTATTATTTTTAAAAAATATATTTCCTGTTTATACCAAAACTCCACCATCTTTCAGTGTTTCCCAGGGAAGATATTGGGTCATATTCTAAACTGCTTTTATTCCCACTAAAGCAACAGATTATATTGACCCTTCCTCCTAGATTATTCCCAGATTTGGTTCCTTTCCCCCACCACCCCTTTCTTCTTAGTATGGTAGTAGTAATGCTTTTGGCTTTGAGGTTGTTGACTAGACCAAAATTTTGTTTTCTGTATCATTGATATCACATGCAAGCAAGATTCTGCTGAAGATTATCCAAGAATGACTGAAAATTTAGAAGAGTCCGTGGCACTAGGGATATTACAGCTGGATGGTCAGCTGTGTGTTTGTTCCAACTCAGACATGAGCTGAATTGAGGTAGTCTGAGCACCAGTTGGATTTGCTTGTTTCTCTTACAACGTTACATCCAAGCTCCTCCTTATGAAAGAAAGAAATCCATGATTTGTTCTTGCCACCTCTTGAGGCTTATCATTTACTACTTGCTGCTTTATTTATTTTGTTCTCTAGTAATGGGATGTCTGAAGCAAAGCATTATCTCTGCCTGCTGTGCCCTTCGCTTTACCCTCCCCCCCTTAGGTTTATCCTTTAAGATTTAATGTAATCATACTTTCTTTCCAGAAGGTTTCATTTATCTTTTTCCCCTGTTGTTGTTTACTATTGAGTCAGAACTGACCCCTAGCTGACCCTCCAATGGGTTTTCAGAAGCAGTAATTACAAACCTTCAGGATTATAGAGCACATTCATAGCACTAGGCCACCAGAGCTCCTTTCTCTTTCTCTTACTATGAGCCAATGCACATTTATTTCTCTGTCTCCATGTTGATCATTATGCTAACCATTTAATATGAAAGTATTTGTTTTTCTATTGCTGAAGAAAGAGTTTATTTTGTTTTTTAAAGTTTTCAATCTTGAATATGTAAAATAAAATACTGGCTCAGTAATTGTACTTGCTTTTTTGACGATTGGTGTCTAGAATTTTTAAGTTGTTGCTATAATCTATATTTTCTTTTAAAAATTCATTTATTGTTGCATATTTTCCTCGCTACTCCTTCCTCTCCCCTCCTCCTTTTTCTTCCTCTCCCCCAGAGTATTTTCTTTTTAAACGATGACAAAATCTAAGCTGAACTTGAGAGTCTTTTACATAAATGAATATGTCTTCAAGGAGTACAGATAATGTAAATTTTATCCTAAAGGAAGTTCACGTATTGCTGCTGACTACACTAATCAAATGCTCTTTAAGGTATTTGCTAATCAGAAGCCTATTTTCTGACTCTGTTTATAATTTATATGGGTAATTTCAAGGTGTGTCTTTTTAAAATAACATGTGAAGAACTTGCATATTTTTTTCATACTTATTTTTTGGACCAGATTTGAAAATATTACAGCATAACAAGAAAATATCTCTGAACTTTAAAAAAAAACTTATCTGGAAAGAGAAGTAATATCTGCTAATTTTTATTAAGAATTATATTGGAAAGAATATATAAATTATGAGTCTTCTTTTCTGTCTGGTTTTTCATTCATTTTATGTTTCTGAATTGCAGTTACAGATGTAGAGCTGAAACGCCTGAAAGATGCCTTCAAGAGAACCTGTGGACTCTCATATTATATGGGACAGCACTGCTTCATCAGGGAAGTGCTTGGGGATGGAGTACCTCCAAAAGTTGCCGAGGTAATCTTAACAACTCTGGTTTTCCTTTGAGATAGTTATCCAACAGGCTGAGCTCATGAAGGGCCTCCTGGCCTTGACAGATTTAATCTTTCCACAGTTATTTGTCTTGCCTAGAAAGTAAACAAATATTGTTTTAGATGTCAGTATGGCTATGTTCTTAGATAGCAAGTTGGAATTCTGCAGAGCTGTAATTCTGCTTCTTTTGTACTTTTGAGCTTTAATAGCCACTAATTATAATTATAGGACCATTTGTATGACTGACTTTTCATTCTTACAGACTTCATCTGTGCCATATCATTTTACATTGAAAGTGGGTTTTTATAAATTTTGTGTTAGAAAAGTCTCTTCTGTGTAGTAAAACCAGGTAATTATATACAATTAAATGTTGTATATGAAATATTAACTTACTGAAACTTCTAAAGGATCATTTAAACTCTGCTAAAATGTTAAGGTAGAGATAAAAATATTTTCTAAAACAAGATGTACTCTTTGTAATTATTTATATACAGATACTGTAATTTAAATATGAAGTAAGAATAAAATAGTGAAAATGATAATATTAAAATTTGGCATCTTCTATAGACCTTAATTTATAATTTCTAATTAATGGCAGATTCTATTTTCTAGTCTGTGTTGCATGGATTTGAACCTTTGGTTTATATAGAAACTGTTAACTGTTTTGTATTTTAAGGTTTATTAAGTGGGAGGTAGAATATATTATGTGTTTCTTACATACATTGTGTGTAAAACTATACTTTAATCTTCTGTTATTCTTTAATAGTTTAGATAGGGATAGCATTTCCCCTAAAATTATTAAGTTCACTGATTTAGTATTATTTATCTTCAAATTTTGTTTTCATCTTGTCTTGAAGTACTAGTATAATATAAACTTAGAATTTAGAATTCTTTACTTTAGGATATAACTTTAGGGAGCTCTGGTGATTTAGTGCTAAGGAATTACGCTGTCAGTTCAAAGGCACATGATACGAATCCACCAGCTGCTTCATGGGAGAAAGAGTGGCAGTCTCCTCCCATGTACTTTACTGCCTCTGAAAACCTTCAGATGGGTCAGATATAGGTCATTTCTGACTCAAAGGTACATTACAACAAACAAGTATATATGTAAGCTACCAATTAAAAAGCTTAAACTATGTCTATATTAATTCATGCAAGGTATTATAAATTCAAATATATACCTTCAGCCTCTCTCTTTTTAGCTATCCTTTCTTAATAGTGAAAAAATTCCAGGCACCCTATAATTTTATGTTTCTAGAAAAAACTTTGTAGTGCAACAATGAATGAATGGAAACCCAAAATCTCTGTAAATGTTTATGAAAATTAATAAAATATAATTATAGAAAAAAAAAAAGAAAAAACTTTGGTCAGAATATCTGAGCCACCACTCTGCATATGTGTATTTATCTATATGTGCATCTATCCTTGTACCATTGGGGTATCAAATACATGAATGGTTTCCCAATGTGGACAGTGTTTGGTGGAGCTCCCATGCCTCTGGAAACCCTGAGAACTTGGCATTGACAATAGGTATGGAAAGGCATTAGGTCTTTTGTTCATAGAGTAGCTATCAATCGCACTTGACTCGATGGCAATGAACAACAACAACATGTGTATCTATATACATATGTAGGCAGTTGGTAACTGTCATATGGTTGACACCTATTTGTGGTTGAACCCATGTGCATTAGTGTCAGACCATTGTAACCATGTTACTGTTGTTATGTGCTGTTGAGTCGCCTGGGACTCCTAGCGACCCTATGTACAACAGCTCTGAAGCTACCCCATATTGAATCAGTCTCACTGACTCTGACACATCTACCCTCATTGCCGCAGTTACGGTTATCAATTAATCTCAACTGGGATCTTCCTTTGCTGTACTGTCCCTCCATCCTTCCAAGCAGGATGTCCTTCTCCAAGGGATTGGTTCCTCCTGGCCACATGCTCAAAGTATGTGAGATGGAGCTTCAAAATTCTGGTCTCTAAGAAGAAACTTGGTTTCACCCTCTCCACGGGCTTAATTTTCCTGGCAGTCCATGGTATGTTCAGTACTCCTCTCCAGCGCCACAACTCAAAGGCACTGATTCTTCTTCTCGTCCTTGGTCACTGTCCAGCTCTCTGATGCATGGCAAGTAATTGTGAAGATCATGGCCTGAATCAGGTGCTTCTTAGTCTCTAGAGTACTCTGGAGAGGTAGGTCCCTGATAGCAGATTTTCCCAGTGCAATTTGTCTTTTGATTTCCTTATTGCTGGTACCAAGAGTATTTTTTTTTTTTTGGTACCAAGAGTATTGATTGAGGAGCGGAGCAGGCTGTAATTGTTAACAAGCTCAGTCTCTTCTCTATCTTTCATGGTGCTGCCAGTTGGCCCAGTGGTGAGAATTTTGTCTTCTTGATATTGAGCTTCAATACATTAGCTGATTTTTATTGGTAGATCAAGTGTTTCTTCTCATCTATTTTAATTTGAAACCTCTGCTGAGGCTTGTTCAGCATCTTAGCAGCACCATACTAGTGTCCACAAACAGATACATGCTTGAGGTGCATTGGCCAGTAATCAAAATTGAATCTGCCGCACATAGAATGTGAAAGTTTACCACTGAAAGACAATGCTTGTATTCACCTTATTTTATGTGGGTCCAGATAGCAGTGAGCCCAAGTTTTATAGTGACCTTGTGTACAACAATAAATATTTTATCAATTTTGGGGGACATTATTTTTTTTGTTTATGCCTTCAGTGCAGCTTGAATTTCTTCCTTCATTACCTTTGGTTCATTTTTCTTTATTAATTTTAACAAAAATTAAAAGTTGGATCTTCATTTACCTTTGGTTCTCTTGGTCATATCCTACTTTTTAGGGTGGTTCCGTGTCAGCCAGTTCTTTTTGGTCAGTGACTCTATATTCTTCCTATCTTTTGATGCTTCCTACATCATTCAAGATTTTGCTTATGTAATCCTTCCACATTGCAATTTTAGGCTTTTATTTGTTCTTCAGTTCTTTCAGTTTGAGAAATGCTGAACATGTCCTTCCCTTTTGGTTTTCTAACACCATCTCTTTACACATTTCATTAAAATAATTTTCTTTGGTTTTTAAAGCTGCCCTTTAAAATCTTCTCTACAGCTCTCCTCCAAATTTCTTCCCTTCTATTCATCTCTCCTCCAGATTTCTTGCCTCTGGATGTTCTAATGCAAATTTCAGAATATCTTCGGACATACATTTTTGTCTTTTCTTTTTTTTTCTTCTCCTTCCTTCCTTCCTTCCTTCCTTCCTTCCTTCCTTCCTTCCTTCCT